CCCCTCTGCTCGCCCTCAGCCCACCATCAGCACGGTGCGAGCTCCACGGGACTGCCATCCTCCAGCGTCACCATGGCTGGAGTTTCCCTTGACTCCGCCTCCAGCCTGGCTCCCCCCCAGTCGGCTCCACCATGGCTCCTAGCTCCCTCCTCTCTGCCGTGGCCCGGCAGTCCACTGGCTCCACCGGGCTCCCTTGTCCCTCCGGCCCCGCCTTGGTCTGGCGACGACCCCCTTGCGCCCCGTCCCCTTTCGGATCCACGTCTCCGCATCAGTCGCCGGTACCATCTGCTCCGCCTTGGCCCCCCGGATCCTCCCCGTTGCCCTGGCTTTTCGGCTCTCTGCCTCGGGCTCCTCCGCCACCTGCTCCGCCGCCATTGGTCGGCCCCCTGGAGTCGGCAGTCATTCCTCCTCCATGGCTCCTCCCTCAGTCGGCTCCACCGTGGGTCGCTGTCATGGCTGTCCTGTTTGTCCTTATTTGGTCATGTTCCTGTCCTCGTTTTGTTTGATTATTAGTTGATTAGTTGATAGTTGATTAGTTGATTAGTCTATCCCTCATCAAGTCTAGTATATAATGTGTAGTCTGCCTCATGTTTCTTTGTCGGGTCTACTATGTTGTGTTTGTGTGTCTTCTCCAGTTCCCTGTGTGGATATACCCTGTGTTTTTGGATTTATTAAAGACTATTTCGATTATCCACGGCTCCGTGTTCCTTCCGGCAGCAATCGTGACACACGTACATAAAGAATGTGATTTTTTTTTTCATTTCATTTTTCAAAGACAGAGTAAAACATGATTAAATAACCCACTGAGTGATAATTCACATAAAAATGTATGTGTTCATCAGTAGTTGGTGCAATATTACTATAAAATGTTAAGAAAATGCTGTGTGTCCTCTCAGTTGTCCGTGTAATTATATACACTTAGTCTTTGTGTGAATATCTACAAAACTGGAAGACTTTCTGACTGTATGTATTTCAGAAAGGAAAAAGATGGAAAAGAAGAATTAGGGAGAACCAGTAAATTCTGAATAATTTATTGATATCAAAAGACAGCAAGTGGAATGATAATTAAAGCATAGGCCTATGTTTTCATGAGATTTGCAATATTGAGAAGCTTAGAGTGTGTCATATGTTTTTGTCATGGCAGTCTTAGACTGCTTTTTGTTTTGTTTTTTACTTATTGAGGTTTTACTGTTATTGATGTAATGATCCACTTCCTTTTGCACAATCAGAAGAGCTCAGTGAGATTTCCTTCAGTGATTCACCACCTTGATACTGGCCTGACAGAGCAATATTACATTTATTTTTCTCACAATGTTACATTGATTCTTCAGGCACTCTGTTGCTATTTGTATTTATTTATTGCATCCATTCATTTATTGTATTCATTTTTGTTCATTAATTTCATATTTCCTGCAGTTTCATTAATAAAGAACTCATCTAAATAAGACTAATCTCTGAAAACGAAATCTCTCAGTCAGTGCTCCTGTGAGACACGGTACAAAGTGATCCCTGCAAGAGAGATTGAAAGTGATATCACAGATTCACTCTCTCTCTTGAGACGCTTAGTCTCTCTCGTGCGCTTGGTGCAGTTTCAGTCACGAATCAATTATGACACTGTGATGCATTGCGATGCATTGAATCACAATGATGTATATTGCATCTTGGGGTAGTTGGCAATACCCTGCCTTACCTGAATGTTCATAATGGCTGAACACACCATTTAACAGATGTGGAATTAAAACCACTGAGATATTCCCACCAAAAGCTGTGTGTTTGTTAAAATGCACATCCAGCATTATGACGTTTTAAACCATAAACTTTAAACTGTTGAAAAAGTACATCCCCAGTTATCCCATCACATCAAAATCCACCCACATATTTGTTTAGAGCTGTTTTGGCTTGTAAACAGTGCTTGATCTGTGCAGATTTCTCTCCTGATTCAGACAGCTTTTTAAAGGGGTCTTTATTAACTTCTATTTCTTCATTTCTTTCTTTATCTACAGAAACCTCTTGGACAGAGACACCTTCTCAAAATCTGATCCAAGTAAGTTTTTTGGTATTATACCATATCAAATATAAAAGCTTATTAATTTAGTCTGTCACGCATTGAGACGTAGGTACAAAGATCGGTTTATCTGACAACACTAGCACATCTGAAATCACATTGCTTAAAGCAGTCTGGGCTGAAATCATCAGCACCGTAGGGAGCATCATTAGTGTGCAATACCTTACCTGCCTGCCTTAATTATTATGTTGTTTTATTAGAAAGCTTGATTGTGCATGAAACCCTGCTGTATGCGTATATTCTTTCATATGCAGGAGAGTATAATATTTGCATTTGCATTTCTTGTTTGCATCTTCACGTGTTGTATGTTCACGTGGGTTGTGATTGCATTGTGTAATCCAGATGTTGTGCTTGGCTAATATTCACAGCTTTAATGATACAGATGCGTTTGACTGCAGGCACTGCATTGTTCATTCTGCTGTATGGCTGATTACACTGACTGTTTCTGACACACACACACAGACACATTATATGTTCTAAAATATTTTGTTTTGATTATTTCTCTGTTAAGAAAATTATATTTTCCTCTTAAAATTGGGCCAGTTATATTGTATGGAAAGTACATACTTTTCTGCCTTCGTTTAAAGGGGTCATATTCTACACCTTTGTAATATTACATTTCCCCTCCTGAAGTCAACTTATAATGTAAGGTTTTTTTATGCTACTATCAGATTCAAAGGGATAGTTTACCCAAAAATGAAAATTATGTTATTAATTACTCATCCTCATGTTGTTCCAAACCTGTTAACACTTCGGGCCCTATCACATACTCGGCGCAATGCGGCGCCAGGCGTGACGCAAGTGTTTTTTGCTAGTTTCAGCCCGACACAGTTGTCATTTTCACATCCTGTGCAAAATAGACTGTGCCATAGACCAACTCAAACCTGGTCTAAAGTCAATGGCGCAGTAGTTTTTTTGTTATTTCAAGAGCACGTTAGTATAGGCGGGTCCACAGTGAGCGTACACTCTGCACACAGGGACGCACATCAGCACACAAACATTCCAAATATTAAAGGGGTCATAGGATGCCCATTTTCCACAAGTTGATTTGATACTTTAGGGTCTTAATGAAAAGTCTGTAACATAGTTTGGTTAAAATTTCTCAATGGTAGTGTAAAAAAACACATTTTTGTAGCATTTTCCTTTAAATGTTAATGAGCTCTGCTGACCCTGCCCCTCTCTTCCGAGCTGCTCTCAGAGAGACTGTTTACTTTAGTCGCACTGACTTTTTCGGGAGGCACACGGATCTACGGCATAGGGAGGAGAAACTCATGTTTAGTCCTCGAATATAACATGGAAGATGCATAGAGCATATCAAATAGTACGTATGAACAAAAACAAACAAACCAAAAATATATTTAATATCTATATATCTGTGCCAACATACTGTACTTTACACATTTGACACATTTTTGGTTAATATAATCTGACTTCTTTTTGTGCAGTAAATATATTACTTAAAGTAAATATATTAGGTGAAAGAGGTTCGGCTTACAAAAAAGTTCCCTTGGAATCCCTGCATTACACGTTGTCAGGATTCTGGACTGTCTGTGTCGTGTTTTGTCCCTGTTTCTGTACCTGTTTGTCCTTATTTGGTCATGTTCCTGTCCTGGTTTAGTTTGATTATTAGTTGATTCCCCGCACCTGTCTATCCCTCGTCAACTCTAGTATATAATGTGTAGTCTGCCTCATGTTTCTTTGTCGGGTCTACTATGTTGTGTTTGTGTGTCTTCTCCAGTTCCCTGTGTGGATATACCTTGTGTTTTTGGATTTATTAAAGACTATTTCGATTATCCACGGCTCCGTGTTCCTTCCGGCAGCAATTGTGACAGAAGATCCGACCTAAACATTTACCTCGGTGTGCCCCCTCCGTTTTGGTTTCTCGTTTTACCCAGTGTCTTTTTGCTTCCGTTGTGTTCTCCCCATGGATCCCCTAGCCTGCCTTGAGTACCTCCTCCTCCTGCTGGAGCAGGGGGAGCGTTCACTCGAGGACCATACCAGACTGTTTCTGGCCCTCGCCGAACTCTCCACCAACCCGGACAACACGCTCTGCACGTTCTATGATGCCAGCCTGAACCCCGCGTGCAGAGCGACGTCATCCGAAGATGGTCCTCGAGCGGATCTCGCCACCTTTTTGGAGTGGATTCTGGCGAGAAACGGATTGCCTCTCACCATCTGTCCCGAGGATGATCTCGCCAGATCCACTACTGATCCAGTGCCCAGCCCACTATCTCCCCACTGCGCGGAGCGCATGCCCGAGCCCACCGCTGACGGATCGCCCGAGCTCGCCGTGGCCGACGAGCCATTGCTGAATGGAGCGACAGAGCAACGGATCGCCGTGGAGCCGAAGCTGCAAATGACGTCAGTCAAGGTGCGAGAGCCGGCAACAGACCCCGCCACAAGGGAGAATGCCACGGACAGAGAGAGCGCAGAGTGGAGCTCCGCCCACTGCACCGTGACTGAGGGTGAGCTGATTATACATCTGGGACTGCTGGACTTCGAGGAGGACCTCATAGATTGGGAAACAGAGCTGGAACCCGACTTGCCCCCTCTCCTCTCTTCTTCATCCCCGCTGGTCCCGTCCAGCCCTGAGTGGGCTCCCGTTTCCCAGTCCAGTAAAGACAGGGCTCCAGTCCCCGAGTTTAGCCCAGAGAAAGTTCCTGTTCCCATGTCCAGCCCTGAGAGGGCTCCTGGTCCCAATTTAAGCCCGGAGGCTCAAAAATGCCCGCCCACCCACCCTCTCCTGCCTCCTCCACCGTTGTCGTCTGGCAGCCCCTCTGCTCGCCCTCAGCCCACCATCAGCACGGTGCGAGCTCCACGGGACTGCCATCCTCCAGCGTCACCATGGCTGGAGTTTCCCTTGACTCCGCCTCCAGCCTGGCTCCCCCCCAGTCGGCTCCACCATGGCTCCTAGCTCCCTCCTCTCTGCCGTGGCCCGGCAGTCCACTGGCTCCACCGGGCTCCCTTGTCCCTCCGGCTCCGCCTTGGTCTGGCGTCGACCATCTTGCACCTCGTCCCTCCGGCTCCGTCAGGCTCCTTCATCCATTCGGCTCCTCCTCAGTCGTCTGTTGCTCCGGCTCCACCGCTGCCTTTCGGATCCACGTCTCCGCATCAGTCGCCGGTACCATCTGCTCCGCCTTGGCCCTCCGGATCCTCCCCGTTGCCCTGGCTTTTCGGCTCTCTGCCTCGGGCTCCTCCGCCACCTGCTCCGCCGCCATTGGTCGGCCCCCTGGAGTCGGCAGTCATTCCTCCTCCATGGCTCCTCCCTCAGTCGGCTCCACCGTGGGTCGCTGTCATGGCTGTCCTGTTTGTCCTTATTTGGTCATGTTCCTGTCCTCGTTTTGTTTGATTATTAGTTGATTAGTTGATAGTTGATTAGTTGATTAGTCTATCCCTCATCAAGTCTAGTATATAATGTGTAGTCTGCCTCATGTTTCTTTGTCGGGTCTACTATGTTGTGTTTGTGTGTCTTCTCCAGTTCCCTGTGTGGATATACCCTGTGTTTTTGGATTTATTAAAGACTATTTCGATTATCCACGGCTCCGTGTTCCTTCCGGCAGCAATCGTGACACACGTACATAAAGAATGTGATTTTTTTTTTCATTTCATTTTTCAAAGACAGAGTAAAACATGATTAAATAACCCACTGAGTGATAATTCACATAAAAATGTATGTGTTCATCAGTAGTTGGTGCAATATTACTATAAAATGTTAAGAAAATGCTTCTTAAAACTGAAATGTGTTTTGTAAAATTATGTGTGTCCTCTCAGTTGTCCGTGTAATTATATACACTTAGTCTTTGTGTGAATATCTACAAAACTGGAAGACTTTCTGACTGTATGTATTTCAGAAAGGAAAAAGATGGAAAAGAAGAATTAGGGAGAACCAGTAAATTCTGAATAATTTATTGATATCAAAAGACAGCAAGTGGAATGATAATTAAAGCATAGGCCTATGTTTTCATGAGATTTGCAATATTGAGAAGCTTAGAGTGTGTCATATGTTTTTGTCATGGCAGTCTTAGACTGCTTTTTGTTTTGTTTTTTACTTATTGAGGTTTTACTGTTATTGATGTAATGATCCACTTCCTTTTGCACAATCAGAAGAGCTCAGTGAGATTTCCTTCAGTGATTCACCACCTTGATACTGGCCTGACAGAGCAATATTACATTTATTTTTCTCACAATGTTACATTGATTCTTCAGGCACTCTGTTGCTATTTGTATTTATTTATTGCATCCATTCATTTATTGTATTCATTTTTGTTCATTAATTTCATATTTCCTGCAGTTTCATTAATAAAGAACTCATCTAAATAAGACTAATCTCTGAAAACGAAATCTCTCAGTCAGTGCTCCTGTGAGACACGGTACAAAGTGATCCCTGCAAGAGAGATTGAAAGTGATATCACAGATTCACTCTCTCTCTTGAGACGCTTAGTCTCTCTCGTGCGCTTGGTGCAGTTTCAGTCACGAATCAATTATGACACTGTGATGCATTGCGATGCATTGAATCACAATGATGTATATTGCATCTTGGGGTAGTTGGCAATACCCTGCCTTACCTGAATGTTCATAATGGCTGAACACACCATTTAACAGATGTGGAATTAAAACCACTGAGATATTCCCACCAAAAGCTGTGTGTTTGTTAAAATGCACATCCAGCATTATGACGTTTTAAACCATAAACTTTAAACTGTTGAAAAAGTACATCCCCAGTTATCCCATCACATCAAAATCCACCCACATATTTGTTTAGAGCTGTTTTGGCTTGTAAACAGTGCTTGATCTGTGCAGATTTCTCTCCTGATTCAGACAGCTTTTTAAAGGGGTCTTTATTAACTTCTATTTCTTCATTTCTTTCTTTATCTACAGAAACCTCTTGGACAGAGACACCTTCTCAAAATCTGATCCAAGTAAGTTTTTTGGTATTATACCATATCAAATATAAAAGCTTATTAATTTAGTCTGTCACG